AAAAAAAACACCTGTTGACTCTAAAACTGTAACATAAAACTGGCATTTATTTAAGTGATATAGATGTGCATAACCTGGTTTCAATTCCATTATCCTTCAACCAACCCTCCCCCCCCACCCCATGCTCATTTAATCTAACATTGTCTCTGTTCACTGAAAACGAATAGCACAAAGACTCCCATATTAGTTTTAGCACTTACTTTTTTCCCTTCTCCATACACAAGTGGAAACTTCAGGTCATCTTCTTCTATCCTTTTATATGCCCTAGTTAGAAAAGGAAACATACACAAAGTAAGGTTATGCAGAAGGTTATCATCGCCTCAGATATGTTAGATTTATAAAACTATCAATTGCTGAAGGAGAAAATGTCCTGGTGAATCTCTTCTACTCACAGCTAGAAAAAAAGGTTGCGGTCAGCAGTATTTCATTTATCTCCAATATATGCGCAGGTAAAACACACATGCAGGTAATCCTTGCTTAGCAACTGTTCAAAGTTATGACAGACTTCCCCAGAGCTACTTACAACCTTATTTCAAAGTTCCAGCAATCACACATAATGCCCCCCCCACCCCTGTGATCACACGATTGCATTTTGGGCACATGGTAACTGGCTCACATTTATGACCTTTTGCAGCGTCCATGGTCACACAACCATGATTTTTTGGGTGAGTTTTGCTAGTTACTGGGATTTACTTCCAGCCAAAACTGCCCATTGGGCATTATGGATTTGTTTAACAACTGCAGCATTCACTTAACAACAGCACCAGTCACTGAACAGCTGCTGCAAAAAAGGTTGTAAAATCAGGCATGGTCACATGGTGACCCGCTTAATGACTGCCATGACTTATGACCATAATTCCAGGCTCGATTATGGTTGTAAATCAAGGACTATCTGTATGCTGCTTTCCTCCCGCTGTTTTCTTAATGAAACTTTTTTTTAAAAAAAAATCATTGGCAATCTTCCTCAGTCCTCCCTTATATCTAATCTTAATTTCATGACAGAAACGAAGCAAGAGGGGGGCCTTGGAACATCTGAATGGCCTATGATGATAGAAACTAATTTATCTTCTTTTTGTAGATTGATAATTGAGAATCAGCATGCTTTATTTCAAATGAAAAGAGAAGTTACCAGCCGTTCATGTTTTGGTCCCTATATAACATCTTCTTTCCCACTTCCTTCTGCTGGATCCTTCGAGGAAACTCAAGGTAAGTAAACTCATTTCCCAGTAATTCAGGCCTCAAATAGCCCTATGAGAGAAAAGAAAAAGCTCAGCTGACAGAATCTTTGGATCTTTTCCATCAAAATAACAGAAAGCCAAATTGCCCCCATATTCCACAAGTCAGCACTAAATAATAGAATCCCAGAAGGGAACAAACATATGTAGAGTAAAGCAGGGACCAATTCCTGATATGTTAAAATTTACTTAAGGGCCTTTTTTCTCTATGTACTGAACTACTACATATTGTCCAAGTCTAACTGAAAATGGAAGGTCAAAGCATTCATTCTTCACCTAAATGCAAGCTAAAGCATGAGTAACTGAACCTGTCTCATGCTCAAATGAGTCATAAGGCCATTTCCAGACTAAAGCAGAAACAGAAGTTGCAACTAAAAAGACACATTTTATAAGAAACAGTGGCACAAATATTTGGCATTGGAGGCAACAAGATTTCAGTTCAGTAGTCCAGATCCTGTTCTCTGCTCAGACAGCTGTCATTTTAATACGAATTCCAATTATGGGAATGTCTCTATCATGTGCATCTGCACATAGACATCTACCTACCTACTTGCTACCTGTATGAAGGGGAACCCTGCATTTCAAAGATAGTTGTTCTTGCCCTAGCTATCCTAGGTTGGTCTTATTCTTCAGAGCTGATTCCATCCTTTCCTGTCAATATCACCAAAGAGGCAATTATTTACCAGGCTAGCAATGGAAGGCCCAAAGGAAGTGATTAAATCCAATAGTCAGACAAGAATGGAGCCCAGAGCCAAAAAAGAAAAAGATTAAGAAATATTGGCTCAATCAGATCCTAAACATACGACCTTTAAGGAAGCAAATTTTACCCCACCTCTCCTGTTGAGTCTGACCAAAAAAAGTGCAATGGAAGAGCTAGGCCACTTTAAAAACAATATTCCCTACACACCCTAAGAAGAGTAGCAATTGAGGAGTGAGGCAATTAAGGGAAGGAATCGGCAGAACCAGTGTAGTTTTTATTTTGTGCTACAAAAAACACTGCTACTGAAAATTACAACAGGCTTTGCTCTTTCAAGAACTTGGATCACATTGATAAAGCATAATAGACTGTCAGCCAGGCACAACAAATGACTTAAGCTATAAATGGGTTTTGGCATAAAATGAACTGCTTCAGCCTGCGACAAAATACAAGATGGACTCCCTGTTGCTCAGTTTCTTTACATAGCCAACTAAAGAGGATCCCTTACCCAAAACTATTTTTTCTTTTCCAAGGCACTTGGAAGCCATTTCAATAGAATAGCAGTCTGGTGTTTTGCCAAAGTGGTAGAATTAAAGGCTCAAAACATGGGCCAGCAACACCTTAGGCTGTTCATGCTTCATAGATTTTGTCTAACTGTAAATTTGCCTTTCATCCCAGGAAGTAAATACTGTCTAATGTTTTGCATAGATGAATCCATCTCACTGAACTACAAGGCAATTCCTGTTATATTCAAACAAGCATAACAATTTAAAAACTGCTCCTTAGAGAGAAAAGAAAATGTGTGTGTATGGACTATGACAGGGGTGTTCTCTTACAATTAGTACCTCTGCCCTCTATCACTTCTCACTTTCAGACTAGCCCCAAGCTGCTTTTCTCTTGCAAATATAGTCACAGGATTTTAAAATGCAATGCATCATTCCATTTTTCACTGCTATTAAAAGTGAGACCAGGTAGTTGCAGTAGACAAGTTAGGGAAAACAGATACTTGAGGACCACTAGATTGTTCTTCAACCTTCATCTGGAGCCTACCCTTTCTCTTTGAATATTGTTAAATGTTTTTATTAATTTTATGTAGACAAGCAAAGCATGGCATTATTTTTACTGAACAGAGTTTAAAGCAATTTGGAGATCACTATTCCATAAAGGCAAGAACTCACTCCACCAGGCATCCTGGCCAAAGGAGAAATTTGCAATTATATGAATTCCAAATTTAAGTCAAGTGTTGACCCCTTTGATTGCCTGGACAAGTCAGGCAAGATTTTGGAAGTGGCTTACAACTGCCTCATTCCTAGGGCTGAGAGTGTGACCCAAGGTCATACAATTGGCTTTGTGATTAGAACTCAGAGCCTCTCTGTTTTTAATCTGATATCTTAAGCATTACAACAAACTGGCTACCTTTGTGAGTGCCATTAGGAATGTAAAAATTGAGAGGAGAATTTAACCTTTTTCCTTGTGTGATCTCAGCAACGGAATTTCCCAATGTATAGGAAAATAGGATTTCTTCCAGGGCAATATATATATATTTGCAGGGAAAATGTCCATCACTCTATTCTGTATGAGAAATGCTGCTTGGACTTCTAGTTGTTGTTTTTTTTTTTTGAAAAAAAATATTATTACAAAAAAGTTGTTTTGAGTTCATCTCTCTGTCATACCTCCATTAAGAGAATTGGAAATGTGGAAATAAGATAGATAAGAGTATATGTGTATATGTTAACTGCAGTAGCAGGACAAATGGTACAATCTTCAGTTGATTGTAAAATCTCTAAAGTCTCTCAGATTGTCCTGGGGTATTACAATTTAGTAGAGAGGCTATTATATGTTTTAAGTACTATTTTTGATATATTTATTCGTTCTCTAAGTGCTGTGACTCAACCGAATCGTCAACATAGGAGAAAAAACAAGACTGATTAATGTTCCTTCTTTAATTAATTAATTTTTATAAAATTAGTTTTAATACAATTAATTAAATTAATTAATTATATAATCAATGTTTTAGAAACAGTGTTTCTCAGCATTGGCAAATTTAAGATGTATGGATGTCAATTCCCAGAATTTTCAGCTGACTGAGGAATTGGGGGAATTAACGTCCATACATCTTAAAAGTTGCCAGTGCCGAGACACACCACTTTATAATAATTACAATTCAGCTCCCACATCTCAACTATTTCTTCAGAGTATTCTGAGATTGGCAGAATTGTGAGTTTCTAGAACTCTATTTTAAAACTTAGCTTTTATTTTGCAATCAATTATTACAAAACAATATCTTATTATGGGCATCCATGGGGAAGCAAGGAGGAGCAAAAGTAAAACATACACACATAACATTATCCCACAAATGTCACAACTTATGCACTTGAGTCATATGTCAAGACTCAAGTATCTAATTAAAGTATGTACATGATCAGGTCACTGTATATATCATTATTTTGGATTCACTGTGGTTTGCTGCGGTTGCTGCTAATTCTTATACATTATGCATTACAGTCCTTATACATTATAAGGTTGTAAAAATATGCATCTTAAATATCTGTTCAATAAGAAAAATAAATACTAGACACAAATTAATAGTACATTGAGAGTCTTTCTTTACTATTTACAATAAATTCACCCGCATCATATTCCAAATGGAAATTGAAAATTCCCTAAGCTCCAAAGATGATTGGCCATGGCTAGATAATGTTGCATAAAGCATAAATGTAATAACCTTGAGCAAAAGAAGAGGTTTGCCTTTACTAGTTTTTCAATTTAGGTTTGCAAGGCAAACCTTATTTTAGTTAACTACTATGAACTCTGATGATCTTGTTTGTACAGAATTGGTTTCTCAAGGATATACCTGCCAAGGTTGTTGTCGGTGGTGATAGATTAAAAGTATATCAGATAGAAAGAAAGTTCTTCCTTACTAAAAACTGTAGCCTTTGCCTCTCTGTCTCTGGAGTAAACTCCCTGGACATTGGAATGATTTCCCCATTACGGATGACAATGGCCCTGCAATGAAACATGCAATGATGACATTAGAGAGAAAGGGAAGAGAGAGATGGCAAAGGAAGTGCAAGCAGCAGATACACAAGAGGGCAAAGAGAGGCAGGGTTAGGTAAGTACCATCATTGCCATACAGAGAGAGAGCCTCTGGGAAGGATATGGCGTCTGGGCAAATAATGGCCAGGGATCTACTGTACGTTTCCAGATACTCTTAAGGTTTCCTTGCCTGTTTCTTGTTGATGGAAGAGGATAATGTTATGTTACGCCTGAAAGCCCAGAAACCTTCTGATGAGAGTTTCCTTCTTTCCCTTTTTATGGATGAAAATTGTTTGCTGTGGCTTCACTCTATTTTATTTCTAGATTTTAAAGTTTCCCTACCATATTCTAAAGACCCAAAATAGATTAAAATATTTATTATTGTGTGCCCCAAATGACTCTACTGTATAAGCAAGTTGAAGTGATTTGCTGATGTCCTGTCAATGAGACTCATGAATAAGTGGAGATATAAACATATCATTCCAGTAGTCGTGCACTTGTGCAGGGAAAACGGGAACTGGGTGAACGGGACCCTCAGACATAGTTACTAAAGACTATTCTCCCCATGTAGCATGAAGACATATTTAATAATATAAGCTCTGGCTCACATTGGTATAATATGCTAGCTTAGAAACTATAAAGGTCAAGGAAATGCTAGGTAGCCTTTTTCTTTAACATTCCTATTGGGTTAACGCCAAATCCTAGGTGTGACTCAAGAACATCCAGAGAAAACACTGACATAGCATATTGAAAAGGAGCAGCCATAAAGACATATTTAGATGTCCTTACATTCTACAGTAACAGTTAAGCCAAATTACTAAGCAGTGTTAGTTACCTGCTCTGAGAGAAAAGATGTTCCTTGTTCAGACAGATAAGGAAGCAAAGGAGAAAAATCAGTCTAAGAAACTAGGGTTCAGAAATGGTGCTGAAAGGATGGAGGAGGATTGTGAGAAGAAAAGTATGGCTAGAATAATGGGTTACATCATCCAAACCCAAGTGCTTGGATATTCTGATCAAAATATAATGTAAAATGTGGATTATTCATACACACATGCACACACGCACACAGGGATTTTATTTTCATCTTTTGGCAATGTTACATATGGAATCTAGCACCTAAAATGATTGCCAAGCCCTGTGCTCGGCTAATTATCTCTCAGATGTAATGACTAAGCAAAAACAATTAAACACAATTATGGCTTTACACAATATCTGTTACAGCATTTTACTGTGCTTCTTGGGTTGGAAGTCTTCATCTTAAACTACCAATATTTCCACATTTGATAATGATCTTTAAGAGCCTGATTTTATTCAAAAATTAAAACAAATTCTAATTGATTTTTCTGACTTGATAAAAAAGTTGATCTCGCTCTTGAAAAAATAACTTGTCAAAAGTATGTGTGTACTGCTTCCTATTAGTATAAGCTCTCCTCATTTCAACGACCACAATGAGAAATAACACCAGTGTATTTTTCTCTGTCTTGTTATCCACTTGTGTAGCCTTCACCAAATGATATTTTACTTGTAACTCCCATCATCCCCAGATAGTAATGTACACAATACACCTAGAGGTTATCATTTTGGCACAGAGAAGAAGGTATTGTTATTTTCAATTCGGAATCCCAAAGCAGACTAGCCAAGAATTTGGATGCAGATAGAAGACTCAATGAGGAAACAGAGCATCTATTAATTAATTCCAAAAGTAATCCAGAATCCTTAATTTAATTAGCATCAATGCTTCATTTTGATTAATACTCCAGTAAAATTTATTTTACTGACTTAAGTTCTGAACATTTTAAATCAATAAAGGTTCTTTAACAAGCACTTAAATTATTATTTGATGAGTACCTAAATATGGTGATATTCTAGATTTAGGACTGAGTCACTAAAAACAATTAAAACAATGGGCAGTGAATCAATGCAGTATCTACAATAAAGACTAAAATAACTTTAATGATTATTCTTTAATTATCCATAATTTTGAAGGTGTCTCAACAATAGAAGGAGAAATGACATGACTCTCCTAGCTCAGGTTATAAAAAAGGAACTCCATAATTTGGAACTCCAAATGAATAATCACAATTCAAAACTGAATTTCCCTCTTGCAGCATTCAGGATATGTTGCAAGAGCATATTTATATTCATCAATTTTTAATTTTTCCATATTAACATTCAGATCACAAAAAATTATTCTCTGATTTGCTTGGGATCCGTAATTGTGTCATACCCAAATCTTAAGCAAGCTCCATCACTGGTATCACTACACTATCCTTTTGAACACAAGTCGGTTGACTCTTTGGTTGACAATATGTATAGTCCTTGATTCTGAGGAGTTCTGTCCAACTTTTCTTACTATTGACAGTGACTGCCTTTATTCAGCACAAGTTTTATTAATTTATTATATCCATAGCCCATTTTTTGTTATAATATTCAAGACAGCTATTGGACCCTTAATGGTTTCCTATCCACAATTGATCAGACTTAGCATTATAGTGCTAAGACCATTCAGACCATTTCCTGAAAGCAAAATTTGATCTCCTGATCATACACAGCATCACTAGAAACACAGCATCATATATCTGTTTATAGCTTATTGGATTAGTCCCTGCGGTTTTCTTGACAAAATTTTTGGAAGTGTCTTATTATTGTCTCCTTCCTAAGGCTGAGAGAAAGTGACTGGCCCAAAGTCACCCACCTGGCTTCATGTCTGAGGCAGGATGAGAACTCAGTCTCTCAGTTTCTAGCCTGATGCCATAACTACTACACCAAACTGGCTCTCATTAGTTATATACTTATCATTAATACACACTCTCTTAAGGACTGGTGTGTGTGATATTAATGGTGCATGAACAGAAGAAAGACAAATATTTAAACTGTTGTTGAAATTTTGTATACATTATAGGTAAAATAACTGACCTTGACCAGAAGGACTCTGATTAAATTCTACCAGGCAGTAAAGAAATATCATTTTTGCAATGAATACATGTTTTGGACAGTTCTAATTTGTCAAGGAGCCAAAACATTCTCCAGCCCACTTACCTACTATCACCAGCGTTGGCCACATAAAACTTCCCCAGAAGATAAACCACAGCCAGGGCACAGCAGCCTCCTGTTGCCTGCCTGGTTACCCGTTCTTGCTCAATTTGATTGTCCTGAAAAGACAGAAAAGCAAAAGTACAGGTGGAACACGATCTATCATATCAGAAAAGAAGGCAGAACCATACTATATGTAATCACAGATCTTCCCCACCTTCCTATATTAATAAACTAGAATGTCCTCAGGAAATAGATATATAAACAACAGTTGCAGAAACAAGTAGTCAATTAGACATTACCTTCAAATTTTACAATTACAACTTTATGCATTGACAAATTCTTGTTTCATATATCAAAAGTCTATTTTAAATAGAGAAATGACATTGTATTCGCATTATGCTATACTAGGATTTGATTTAATTTGAATCATTTACACCAAGTTCATGTTTTGTTAGAGCAGAGGCCCTTAATCACAATCAGTAGAAAAGTTTCAACTATGGCTTTATCTGATTTACAAAACTGTACAAATAATTAGTATAGTGGGCAATTAAGCAGTCATTAGTCTCCAGGAAAATAAAATAATATGCAAAAAGTTATAAATAGGAACTATTCCTGCAGCAACATTTCCAACATTCCTTTTTTTCCCATCCACACATATGCACAATGACTTTTTTTTTTAAAGAAGAGTATACCTCATATTCTGGCTGGCTATGTTTTGCCATCATCTGTATTTTTCATGCCTTTAGAATGGTGGTTAATCTGTGACTATCCCTGTTTGCCAAAGGTCTAAGTTAATTGCTAACTTAATCTTTTGTCTATTAGGACTTATCAGTTAACTTGGTCTGAAATATGTGAAAGGGAGACAATACTAATCAAAAGAAAGCTAATTAGCAAGCACAGTTCAAATATCTGAGGAAACAAACAAAAAGAAAAAATCCCTCTCTTAGTAAATATCTCTATATAATTTTATGAAGAGGTGGGGAATCGCCAATAACATTTCAGTACCTATACTAAATTATAGTTTACAAGATTCTCTAGGGAAGCCATGACAACTGAACTGGTATATGAATGCTATATGTTGACAATGTGTCTTTTTCTGTGTATTTTATTCCCCTGAGCAGCATCGAAGACAAGATCTCAAGCTGTGCTACAGAAAAACAGAACAGGCTCTGCTCAGGATCTGCAGATAGATAAGCAAATATCTAGTCAGCCAAAAATAGTCATGGGTCACCATGTCAGTGCCTTAACTGCAAAAGGAAGTGAATGCATATTTTGGGTGGAAGACAGGCAGGCAGGATTGGAACACATCCCTGATCTCCAACTTATATGTCCTTCAGTGGCTAGGGGGCTGTGTGTGTTAATATAAAACTGTTAGTAATTGAGTTTATTTGATTCTGAATATCCTTCACCTGTTTAAATCTATGAGACAGGCTACATCATATATACCCAAGGCCCTTTGCCTGCTTGCAAGGTGAAGCAGATTTTGTTTGTTTACCCTGGCTCTCTGAATGCAACATATCCATTTCATTCCACTTCTGATACAGAATCAGGCATCAATTACAAGGAAGTGCTAACTCAGACTAAGATAACCACATGTCTAGTAGGCAGCTTACATGTAATTCCAAAGTCTGTGCCAAGCCAGGAAATTGATTGTAATTCTCTATCATGGGAGCAGCCTGCCTTCTCCAGCCCATTTTTGTTCTACTTACTTACCATCTGCTTGAATGCATTTTCAATGGCTCCCACTACTAAACTTTCATGGAAAACCATCTTTTCCATATGGAAGCGTGGCAAGGCATTGTTTGGGACCTCTCTGTCTTCTTCTGCCAGAGGAGCTTTGTTTGGTTCGGTGAGAACTGTCCTGGGTCTCTCTTGTAGGCAAATTGGTGGAGGAGAAGAACCTTGTAAGATATCCACCAAGTCTCGGAGTTGGTCACGAATATGGAAATGAAGCAATTTGGATGCCATAATTGCAGCTCCACTTCCAGCATGTCCATCAAACAAACCCCAGTAGTAAAAATACAGACCTTTGCTGCCCTGCAGAGAGATTGGAAAGAATTGTTCTGAAGTAATGCCAAAAGAAAGGAAATTCAAGTTTAAAAAAGTAAAACTGATGAAGCAGCACTTTGGTGAAATTCTGCAAGCTTTGCAGTTTGTGACTGAAGCAACATTCAGCACCTCCTCAGCCAGCTATCAATTTAACCAAACTGCCACCAGTTCAAGGATGTCCTAATTCCTGGAGTTTATTTTACTGCAAAGGGAGAAGAAAGGGCAGAAAAGGTGATGAAGTAGCAAGGTGATGAAATTTTTGTCTCTGAGCAATGCAATAGGTATCTTATTCATCCAGTGCTCACATAGTTCACAGGCATTATTTTAAATGCCAGCTGCAATAATTCTTGTGACTATAGTGGATGGGAAAGTTTGTGGAACCCACTGGTTCACAATTCCACTTCATCAAGTAAACAATGGTTGCCAATTCAGGTAAGACCTGTGAAGTAACAACTATTTTGTGTGACCATTACTATTAATCAGCAACTGGGAATCAAACAGTCCTACTCTAAGCTAGAATAAGTTCACATAATGTAGTAAACTATGATTTAGCCACGGTTAAAACTATTACCTGGATTAAATCATTATGAACCCATAAACAATGGCTTGTTTAACTACGATTTACTGAATAATCCATAATAAACTACATTCTAACTGCAAAGCCAAAAACTGTGAGTCATAAGTCACAACAATTGGATTCATGCAACACAGTAAACCAAAATCAAATAAACTACATTACAGGTTGAGACACAGCTGTGGAAGAAGCTCTGGTCATCCAGTTGCTCACCACTCACTTCTGATTCTCCAGAGATTCCCTTGGAACCTGGGTTATTTCTCAGGCTGTTTCTTTTTTCCACAAGGACGGCTTCACAACAAGCTTGATCCTCATTATGCTGGCTTTTACCAGCATTTATCACTCTGTTCAGGAAAGAGAGAAACAAACCATCATAGTGTGGACTTAATGATATGAATTTGATTTGATTGACCAACTTCCCTTGATCTCAGATTCACCTTGCACAAAGATTGACCACAAATGGGGACAAATGATTCCATTGCTGCTGTTTTTAGTAAACAGAAGCAATTTGAGAGAGGACCTGGCATAGCCATCATGTCTGGGTTTTTTTTTAAACTTTCATTTTACCTATAGTCAATGAATGGCTTCTGATGTCTGATTGACCAGCATAGGACCTACACACCATGAAAAGTGACACTCTAAACTTATTTCATCAAGCTTATTAATCTCATACTGCCTTCTTTGCTATCATGGTTTCAAGCTTTGTTCAAGCCTTTGGGGGCAACCATTGTTTCTGATGAAAGAACCTGACAGAGGACCTCAAAGCCAGCAAATCATGGCTGGCATAAAACTGCCAACCAAAATGAACTTAAACTTTTTATCTTTGTTTTTCTTCAGCTTTGCTACTTCACATCATTGCAAAACATAGCTTGGCAGCAGGAAGTTGTAGAAACATAAAACAGGAAACATTGTCCGGGCAGGAATTTGTAACAGTACAGTTTGCAAAGCACAAATAGTATATGATGTTGAGGATGCAAGTAAGTATAGAGCTCAGGAGAGTTTCCAAATAACCTTGACAGGCACTTTCCCTCCCCTCTCCACCCCCATGGGATGATAGGAAAACCTTCAATATGCTTCCAACGAATTTTTAAAAAGCATTAAGAAACTAAGAACTATTATAAGTTACAGTCCGTTGCAGGGGGCATCAGCTACAATTGTGCAAAGCCTCATTCCTTTTATGCCTGTTATGTATATTAAAAGGAGATGAAACTTTGCATGTAAAAGTCATTACCTACTCTACACATCCCTACTCTACGTATACAGTACATATACATTTAGACAAATTCATATGTGCGCAAACATATTCCTTTTCATGTGTTTCAAACCAATTAAATGTATATAAAGAACATTTAGGCCTAGCTTAGCTTCAGCAGACATGCTACATCATGGGCTTTCTAACATCTTATTTCAGTGTTTGATTGGAGCTCATCTTTTTATGTCAAATATGCAACTAAATTACAAGGTGTCCATTTTTCAGCCAGTTACTGCAACTATGTCAAAACTCCATGACAGTTTTGATCTGCAGTAATTAAAAGGCAAAAGTAGCCCTCTTCAGGTGGTCTTTCTCTCTTTCACATGCGTATATGAAAAGTAAACAGCATGGGAGAGAATTTTATAATGTATAAGAATAATCACAATATTGAATCCAAGTTCGGTTTATTACTAGTTTTTCCTGTTTTGTTGCAGCAGAAAATTTATACCTTTTCTGATCTAAAGTTCTGCATGTGTATATTTATATTAAGAAAGAAAAAGAAAGAAAGAAAGAAGGAAGGAAAGAAAAAGGAAGAAAGAAAGAAAGAAAGAAAGAAAGAAAGAAAGAAAGAAAGAAAGAAAGAAAGAAAGAAAGAAAGAAAAAGATTTCAGCAGTTGAAAAACAATTGCAAAGTTGCTTGGGACAAGGTGGGATCAACAGAAACTGTGTACTACGACTTTTTGCACTGCAAATATGTGGAGACTTATTATCCTAAGTTTCAACTTTCCTGTCTTTTTTTTCTTTTAAAAGCTATTATTTTGTCTCTAAGTAGACATATTTAAATTGTCTAATCCTGCAAGTTTACAATAGCTATTTTTGCTATTTAGTGCTGATGGTCAAACCTAAACACATTCAGTTGGAAGCAGAGTTTAGTCTAATTCCAAATTGTAATACCAGGACATATTGCAATATAGAAATGTACCAGGTCAAGTGTTTTGGATTCAGGAATGCTTTGTTTAATACACAGAAAGTAGTTGAAATGCAAATATGGATATTTATGCAACCTTATTGATTATGAAAAGGCATTTGATCAAGGGAAGCATGGGAATTATTAGGTATATTGAAAACAATAAGACTGGATAACTGAGCTGTATGCATTATGATGAATTTATATTGGAAGCAAACGGTACCTGTTAAGTAGAAGGAAAAGCAAAATAATTTGTGTGGAATTCAACAAGAGTGTTCATTGTCACCCTTGCACTTCAACGTGCATTCAGAAGCTATTTCCAATGAATATTTATAAGAACAGTAAAAAAGTGTAAACTTTAATATCCCAATTATGTTTTAGTCAGATTATTTTTCTATTTAGTAAATAGAGAACAATGTTTACAAAGTTTACTTAGTCAAGTGTATCAGTCAAGTAAATCTTGCAGGGTAAATATAAAACAGAACAAAACAAAAAAAGTTGTTTTCAGTAAAAAGAAAGTCCCTCAACAAGCTATCATACAAACAGGACAACTTGAGAGGGTGAGATATTATAAATACCTAGGCTGTATTCTGACTGACAGATGGGATCATAGCATGGAAATAAAGAGCAAGACTGAACAGGTGAGAGTAGCTTGTTGAAAAATAAGTAACTAGCTTGCTGCTGGAATTTAAGATTGGAACTTTGTTGGCAGATTGTATGCTGTAATGTCTTGCCAGTTCTTTTGTAGGAGCCAAATCACAGACAGGGTAGGAGAAGCCTTTGAAATGTGGATTTATAGATTATAGAATTAGTGTGTAACCTAATGAGGCAGGCTGTCCTCCAAAGCATAGGCAAAGACAGGGAAAGTGTGAATACCAACAAGAAAAGAAAATGTTCTACTGAGATCAGATGATACATAACGAGAAATATCAGCTCAATGAATTATGCAAGGAAAGCTGCAAAGGAAATGTAGTATTATATGATGAGCCATATCCTGGTTGAAATATCTCTGCATGTGGGTTGGCCCAAGTAAATATATCCTTGTTTCAGATGGTAAAACTGAAGCTACAAATAGCATTGATAGTCTGCAGTAGGAGGTGGCACTATAGGAAGAACTAGAAGTACTTTTTAACTTAGTGACTGGATTGGAAATCAAAGTCTTATAGAGTTGGAAGTGACCATTTAGGTCAATGGTTCTCAATCCCAACAACTTTAAGATACCTTAAAGTTGCTGAAATTGAGAAACACTGATTTAGGTAATCCAGTCCAACTGCCTCCTCTCTAGAGGAATCCAGACACATCCAAAGAAAGACCTTCATCTCTCTAGGCACATGTTTCCACAGTCCAACTATTCCTAGTGATAGAAAGCTTTTTCTAAGATTCAATCAGAATCTGCCTTTGTACTTTAAACCCATTACAGTATTCCACAGTATGGAAACTGGTCCTGAACATCTTCTATGTAGCATTCTTTGCCAACATTCAAACAAAACATACTGTGCCTTGTTGCATGAATCTGGCTGATGGCAGTTTTTTTCTGTATAAATTATTTCATTAAACTGTGTAGAAAAATTTTCTACAATTTTAACAATAACACCAATTTATGTTAATAAATTCTTTAAGAGGAAAGAGACTTCAGTTTGTTATTATTCATTATTCAGTTAAAAACAAGGAATGATACAACCTGCTCACCACTAAAAAGAAAAAAAGCTTGCAGGAGTAGCATAAGAAACAGATAAGAGGATATTCTCCTACCTAGGTCAAGGAAATTATATTTAGAACTGATATTATTATCTCAGGACTGAGTCCTAGTAACCTTAAAACTAAGACAGCCTATCCTGCTAAACAAAAGCAAGCTGAAGTCAGGGCACACAGCATGAACCCATAAGAAAAGTGAGATATTAAATCAACTGGAAAGTAAAATACTAATTACCATTTGCAAGTAAAATAAATGGAGAAAGAGGCAAAAAGAGAAACAAACATCTGTTTATGGCCATTTCAATATTTCTAAAAGAACACAACATGAATTTAGCAGTCTTGATTAAAATGCACATGTTCACCATTTTTCTGGCAAGACTTTTGCCTATTTACCAGCCAGATAACAGCTTTTCAAATTTCCCTGCCAAGAAAAGAAGCATTTGCTGAACATCTACCCACAAATTAACTGATAAAAAATAGGGATCTTTCTCACAATAAAACATTAAATTTTCAGACACCCACACAAGGCACACAATTGCCTTGGGTGTCTATTTTTTAAAAAAAGTAATTTGCTATTTTTGGATCCTCTGCAGGTTTGTAGCTCAGCTCCCAATTGCAAGCCCTGAGAACCACCAGAACAGAGGGAAGGCCACATTAAAGGTTAGGGGTGTCTGAGGGCATAGACAAAAAAGTTAACATGATGGGTGCAACTGGAAGATAGAAACTCCATCTATTTTTGCATGTCTTGACTGCCAATGTGACTTTTTTTTACCATCTCCCCAGACAACTATGATAGAGGTGAATGAAGACAAATGCCTTCTTTAAAAAAAAAAAAAAATCAACAATAGCCATAGGGGATGCATAACGTTTGTTCACATACATTAACATAGGAAGGACAGAGATTGGGGAGTGTTGCAAGAAAATACTTTTTTTCTCTTAACA